GAGGGAGGGGGGAAGGGAGGGAGAGGGGGGGAAAGGGAGGGAGGGGGAGGGGGAAGCAAGTAAACGACTGCCGACGTCCAGAGCACCTCCCTCTAGGTGAGGGGTGGGGAAGAAAGCCCTTAATTCGGATTTGGGACTCTACAGTGATGTGGAGGTGGAGGACGATGATGTGCGGTGTGATGCGCCTCATGAATGGATTTCCCACCTCTCGAACCTTTTCGCATATAACGTTTTTCTCCCCCTTCCACCCCCTCCTACACCCTACACCCTTTGCTGAAACGATACAGAGGTGTTTGGAAAACGCCTTTGCCGAGTTGAAGACCGCCGCGAATGGGCCCCCTGTAGTGGTGGTTGGGGCGAGTGGGAGCTTGACATCTCGAGGGGTGGGAGGAGGAGGGGGAGGGGGTATGCTGTCGGCCAGGGGTGGCGGAGGGGGTGGTGGAGGGGCTGGCCTCCTGCGCATGTAGTGACGGTTTTGGAGTGATNTGGGAGANGCCTNGATATGGGTNATANGAAGGGTGGGGGGGGGGGGAAGNGGGGGGNGGGGGAAGGGGGGGGAGGGGGGATCAGGGTTGCGGGTGGAGGCCCCCGGGGGCAGCATTTGGCGGGAAACTTAAAAGCAGGAGAGCTGATGGGGGGAAGGTGCAGTAGCAGGAGCTGCGACAGCATGCAAGACTGCTGGTTTACTTGTACGTGTGTATGTATGTAAAAAATTGTATGCATGTATTGTATGTATGCATGTGTATCCGTGGGAGGTGTGTGTGTGTGGGGGGGAGAAGCTGTTGTTGGTCTAGGATCTGCTAATGTGTGTGCGTGCGGTGTGCACGTGAATGTATGTATGTGTTTTGTGTCGTATTGTGTGCACTGTGTCGTGTCGTGTACCGTGCTGAGAGGGCGCTGGTGGTGCTTTGTTGTTTGTGATGGCGATAAGGATGTTTGTGAAAGGCTTACCGAGGGGATGGGTTAGGGGAGGGGGGAGGGGTTTGACACGCCTAGTGCACGTGTGTAGTGCGTACGTGATATGTACGACTTCTAAGCTGTTAATCTGAGGGCCGATTTTGGAGGTGGGGGAGGAGCTCTTACATGGTGGGTGGGTTTGGAGGTTGGTGCAGTACGGCAGTAAGTACTGCTGCTTTGGTTTCGTCCCCCAACCGGTCATGGGGTTGCTGGTGATTGTGCGTAGAGCTGGTTTGGTGGTTGTAATGGGTTAGTTAGGTAGGGTGGTTGATCTCAATGACGGTTCACTGACGGTCACTTGAGAAGAACGTGGTGCAAGTGCTGAAGGGCTGGTGGGGGATGGTGGGGTAATTCCTGCTGAGCGTGTTTAGGGAGGATGGACATCGGCAGAGGCTCGGACCGACTGTGGGTGTGAAGTATTCCGACGAGGGCAAACGCAGAACATATAAGCGAGTAACTCATGAACACAAAAATACTAACGCAGCGATGTAATGATATAAGATGTAAGCGGCGCCTGCGTGGCTGCCCAGCGATTCGCATAGTATTCGCCTTTATGACAGCTGCCCCCGGGACAGCGACGCGAGATTGACTTCTGATGTAAATACTTCAGGTATAATAACCTTTATCGCATTATCATATGTTTATGGCGTTAGGCTGATGGTAGCATCTTGGGGTGGACTCTTGTTACGAATTTTAACGAACTCAGCAACGGTCAGTTGCGTCAGCTCGATGCAAGTCAAGTAAAAGGAAAAAACTCTTAACTAAACACCCGATTACGTGGATTTACCGAGCTAACACTGATCATTCTGGTGACTGCCTCCGTCACAAGATGGTGCGGACCTAAGGCACTCTCTCGCTTATCTGAGAGATTACACACATAATGGCCGAATCTGGAAGTGGACGTGGCAGCGGGTCGGCGCAAGCTGCCTTGGGAAGTTCGTCATTACTGGAAGCGCATGACCATACTCGCTTATGGCTCCAGTCCAAGCTGTCTGGTGACTGGAGTGCGCAAGCGGGCGCGAGCGGGCTGACAGAGGAGCGGCTTAACACACTGTCGCGCTGCTTTGGAACGCTTGACAGCATGGTGAAGGTCAGCCAGCCCCATTTGCACCCGCTAACGGCCGGCCGAGCCGACACCTTCCCAGCACCTTGGCAAACCTCCCTTTCAGATTTTTTCTTCCCCTTAGCCACAAATTGTTGAATCCCCTTCCTCTCTCTGTATTTCCTCGCGTCCATCTTCCCTCACACGGTTCCTCCTCTTCTCCTGCAGGTTCGGCTGCTTCTGGCAGGTCTGTTTGTCCCCAGTCGGGAGCGCAGTCGGTTGCAGCCGCTGCTTTCCGAGCTCGCCTCGCAGGCTGCCGGCAACCAGGACGAGTGGGTCCGCGCCACTGCGGCGGTAGTCGGCGACTTCAGCGGCCTCCTGGACATGAGGGCCCTCATGGCGCAGTTCCCGCTGGTGGGGTGGGGGCAATATGTGGCTGCTCTTGTTGATACTGCCGCTGTGGGTTGTTGCTGTGGTGGTACTGGTGGTGGTGGTGGTGATTCCGTCCTTCCAGAGGCTATTACTTCTCTACCGTACGTTGAGATCATCCGTGAGCGTGGTATCATTTCAGAGTTTTTGATTCGACACGCGAACCCTGATACGATGACTTCACGCCATGCCACTTCATGCCATTTCCTATGCAGCAAGAAACTCTCACACAAATACACCACAATCACCGTGTGCAACCACAACTACCGCGGCGCAAACTCGCTCTTCGCCACCCCATACACTATGCACTATACATACATACATATGTACATACATACATACATATGTACATACATACATACCTCTCCACTGTAATTCCCGTTTTCCCGGCACCGGCCTTTTAAACGAAGATGAATTGCATCAGCGACACCGGGGGTCACACGCATCATTGTCTTCTCTTAGTGCCCTAACACACCCCTACCATTCATCTCCACGTGCTGGCCCTCGTATTGCCGTACGTACGGCAGGTTCGTGAGTCCATATTGAAGTTCAGTTCCCAGCTTGGTAGTGGTGAGCTGCACACACCTCCCTGCCTGCTACCGGAAACTGTAAGTTTGTGTGTACATGTATGTATGTATGTATCATGTGTCAGCTAGCAACTGGAATTGGTCCAACGTCATCCACAGATTGAGTATCATCATCATCATCATTATCATCATCGTCATCATCATCATCCTACATCTCTCCCCCCCCGTTCAAGGCACGTCACGCCTCGTCATCAGATTGCCATACGGCGCATCGTACTCGTACTCTAGCCGTACTGAACCTTCCCAACCAATATGTGCCCAATCCGTCCTTTTCTAACCGCTGCAACTGCTACGGCTACCGTTGATGATACATCAACTGCCTTGCTGCCGTACATTCCCGTACATTCCCGTACACAGGAGCAGTACATGCACCGGGACATTAGTCGCCTTCCAACCCAAGATGCGACTGGCGCAGCCGCAGCTGGTCCCAGCAGCGCCAACACCATATCCGGAAACCATCACCATCATCAATATGTTCATCACTTCCGCCTCCGTGAGGCACCTGGCTCCGCCGTGTCCGCCGGAGACCCGTTGGGGGGTCCGGGTGGAGCGAGCGCGGCGGGCGGCGGTGTGACTGGTTCCGGAGCTCAAGGGGGAGGTGGAGGCGGCGGTAGCCTTTGGCTGTCTCCTTCCGGGGTTTTGGCGGTTGGCTCCGGAACCACCACTCATAGCGGCTTGGGTGCCAGTGGCAGTCTGGTAGGGCTTGAGGGCAGGAGCTCGTACGGACAAGGTACGGCTGGTTTCGGTTAGTGGTTGGTGGTCGTACGCATGAAGATTGAGTGATAGAGGCAAGGGAGGGTAAGTGGTTCCGGAGCTACGGGCAGGGCTGGGCTTCTGCTTTGGCTCAGTGGGCTGGGTTGACGTTTCGCAATTTTGTGCCCCTCCAATTCATAAGCCCCGCCCATTCATAATACCCCTTTTTAGAGCCCCGTTCTACTCCCCTCTTCCCCCCCCCCGCGCTTTCTTCCCCACTCGGTGCTGGAGGTGTTGGAGAGGCGGCGGCTTCCCGATTGCGAGTAAGGGCGGATGTGACCCACGGCAAGGAGGGCTCCAAGCAGGTGCTGAGGAGATTGAGGGGTTGGGGCTTGGGAGTGAGGCTGGGCGCCCGGGGATTTTGAGGGTGGGGACTCTGGGGCTTGGGAGCTTAGGGTGCGGGTTTTGGGGGTTTGGGGTTTTGCTTCATGGGGGTGCATGATGGCGTGTTTTGCTGGTTCGTGGAGTCGGGTGAGTATTGGTTGGGGGGGGGAGCGGGGAAAAGTAAGTACGACACAGCACACAGGCACTAGGAAGTTGCACATTGCAATATAATAATACGATGCAGCAGAATATCTGGAGATGTTTGCGTGTATCTGTCTGTCTGTCCGTATGCCTGCCTGACGTGCGCACTGTACGGACGACTGTGCTTGCGCTGCACGTTCTGCTGCTGCTAATACTGCTACCACCACTGCTGCCACCCCTGCTACTGCTATTGTTTGCACAGGGCACACCTTTGGCCGGCACTGGTAGTGGGGGTGTTAGTGGTGGCGGTGGTGGCGCTAAGGCGGGGGGGCCGCTGGTTGTGGGTTTGCGAACCGGTATGAATCTGAACCTCACTCGGTCGAGATCGCTCGTATCGTCCGACCAGCAACAGCTACAGCTACAGCATCCCGTACCGGAATCACCCCATGCCGGGGGTGGAGGGGCAGGGGGAGCAGGTACCCCGGGAGCAACACCATCTGGATCTTTTGGATCCGGATTTGAATTTGGATCTGGAGCTGGTGGAGGAGGCGGCGGTGGTGGTTCGGCTGCCGGCATGACACTGTCCGTACAAGGCGGGGGTACTAGCGGACAAGTTGCCGTGGCGGCCTTCGGAGGGGGCCCTTCGGCCACCACCTCGACTGGCCGGGGGGAATCGCATCAAGGGGGTGTGGCCAGGTGCGTATGTGTGGTTATTGTGTGTGTATGGAAGCGTGTGCGCGCGTGCACCTTCCCTCCCTCTCCCAGCCAAGGATAGCCCCAACGGCAGAAGCCTCATTTATCCATTCCGGCTCGTACGGCAATTGGGTTTTCGCCTACCGACCACCCACAGGGGCAGCTGGCAGGGCGGTGGCGCGGCGGCGACGACTACTACTGCAACTACTGCGGCGGCGGCGGCGGCGGCGGAGGTGACGGAGGCGCAGCACTACCCCCTGGCCGCCGCCATCGCGTTCGCCGCCGCCGCTGCCAGCGGCGACATCTCTGCGGGTACCTTGGGCCCGTTCCTTACGGCAAGTACGGCAGAGTCGCTGTCGTCGATCATGCCGCCATCGTACATTCAACAGCTGCAACAGCGGCAGCAACAGCAGCAACACCCCCACCAGCGGAACTTTCAGGAAGCTCCGCAGCAGTATGACGCGTTAGTTGCGGGAGAGCGACAGGGACATAGCCACGATGATCAGAGCGGCCTGGCGCGGGACAGATCCAGGGACGTGTACGACGATGGCTTCGGTGTCGGGAATGACGGCATGGGGGAGGGTGTGGGTCGGAGGCCCTCGCATGGTTTTGAGGGAGGGCATTCTGGTGTTGGGGTGGCCCGGCGCTGGAGCGCGTCGGGTGGTGAAGTTGTCGGCTGGCAGGAAGAGGATGCTCAAGAGGACGGCTTTGACCGTGGCGCAGAGTACCACGGGAGGGAGGAACAGTCGGGCGGTGAGGAACCAGATGCTAAACGCTTTCGTCCGGGTGATTGATGGATTTGGTCTCTCGGACTTTGCAAATGTTTATCAGTGTTTATCAGTGTTCCAGAATGCTATTGTAACACGTCCTACCCACATCTCAAGGAGCCGTGCTGGAAACTATGTGCTATATGTTCTGTATGCAACCTGTGAACCGAACTGTCCTGTAAAATGTAAACAAGATTTGGTCCGCGACCACGGTACGGCTGCCGTTGGTAATACTTCGAAATGAGCTCTCTTGCACTTCGATAATTCTTACACTCTAAAACGTATTGTTAAACATCTTTGTAGCAAACGACTTGTGAACACGCAATCCTTAATCGTAATTGCTGAAGTCAGTTTGGTCATAGCATTTAGCACTTTGGTTAAACGACATCTATCAGCACTGATATAGATAGCTAGACATACAACAAAGGAATGGACGTGGAGCCCATTTTTTGCGCGGAGCAGGTGTGTGAATGCAAGGCAGTAGTGAGGTTTTCTGGAGGCTACAAGCACGTGCTGACTTTTTTATTCCTCTCAGATCGTTATTCCGCACAACCTGGCCGATATCCTTAAAGCTTACACAAAGGAGGTGATTCGGCGACAACCAGCGGACATTGTCGCGTTCTCAGCCAAGTAAGCTTGACCGATAGTATATGCTGGGTTCATGTCCTCTCCTAAACAGCATTTCTCCTATGCAATTGCCTTGGGCGCGCCATGGCTCCCGGTCCTAAGTTGCCCGGCCCAATGGCGGAACCCCTAGTTGGCCCCCCTCTCGCGCCACACACGTTGCCTCACCTCTTCAACCTCAATCCCTTCCATTCCCTTAACGCAACCACTTTGCAGATACTTCACAAACCTCGCAAATGTAGCATCGGGTGCATCAAATACGCAAGCGCCAACGAAAGAGCAGCTGCGCCAGGTCTACACCCGCGGCGGCGGGGGCTCTACCGCCCTCAACCAGTCGCAGGTCAACGGTCTATGCAAGCAGGCCGGCATCGCGGATCCAGTGGTTTCAAAGGTCCTGGAGGTTGGGACCTTTGACCCGACCTTTGTCGACCTGGACAAGTTCGTCTTCCTCATGCTGGCCATGAGTTGCGAGGACTTCAACCGCGTCTGCATGGGCGTCTTTGACGTCTTCTCCGACAACGGCTCGCTGCCAACGGAGCACTTTTTGCAGCTCATCAGCTTTCTGGGTCCCGACATGGACACAGATGTGACGCAGGGCTTCCTGTCCGCACTAGAGCAAGAGCTCGGGGGGGCACCCACCATCACTTACATGGAAATATGCGAAGCACCCACCATCAAGCCCAAACTGGGTTTGTCATGAAGGCCCTGAATCTCTGGAAGTCTTGGAGGGACTTTGGGGTGGGCTGATGTTAGAGGATCCATGGCCATACGTTTGCGAGCGTTGGGAAATTGCGATAATATAGCTATAGCGCGGGCGCAGTAGAACGCCGCAGGTTTGTATAAAGCTGACTGAAGTGGTGTCTGAGTGAGGGCGGGCCGGTCGAGACACACACACACACACACACACACACACTCTAGCAGCCCCGGACCGGGGAGAGTATTCTTGGAGTGGGGTCTGGGTCTTGACTTTGGAGTCGCTCAGGGCCTAGGAAGCTCTATTGTACTGCTGGGATTGGGTGGAGAACGACAGTGATGATGAATGTGGTGGGGCGGATGGCCGCAGAGGAGACTGGGCGATGGGGGTTTGCTGACGGGCTAGGTAGGGGAGAAGGGGACGGGGAGCATGTCACAGCCCAAGGCACACCAACCCGCGGGAAAGGGTTGTGTGACGGAGGGGACGATGGCCTTACGGCGGTGTGGTGTGGTGGTAGGTATTTGAAAGGACGGTGAACAGCGAAGCGAGTAACTGGGCTTGGCTGGTCGTGCTGCGCGTGCGATGTGGAGCTTGGGGTTGTAGGGCTCGTGGGTGTGAATCACGGCACGGCACGTATCACGGAGGCCGCGACATGATGAATGTGTTTTGATGCTAGTGGTGGTGATGGTGGTGATGGTGGCGGAGGACGAAGACGCGAGAGGGAACTGCACCGGGGGGTGCCCTGCAGCGGCAGCAGCGGCGGCAGCAGCAGCAAGGATGTATGCTCTGCGTCTGAGCATATGTAGGTATGTATGTATGTGTCTAAAGTGCACTCTCGCTCTTCACGTTGATATGACGTTGATATTGTCACATCCTGGCGGTCTGCGGCCTCCCGTGGTTTTGGAGGGGGTTAGCAAAGGAGGGCGGTTATCGGTCGATGCCAGTCTTGTATTAGGTTATGAAACACGTGGCGCAAACATACAGACATACTTACATGCTAACATACTTACAGAATGGACATTGGCGACGCAAAGAAAGTCCACAACTTGGGAGGTTTTCCCCCCGGATGATTTTGGGCCTCCTTTTTGCGTCTGTGGACATATGCATGTATGTCTGTACGTATGTATGCAGTGCATGTATGTACATGCATAACACAGGGGGGTGAATGTGCAGAACGGTGCTGGCAACACGGAAAGTGATGATGCGAAGGTATTTTGGGGGGAAGGGTTTCGGAGCTGCGCACATGATAGACCCATGGGGCTATCTGGGGAACGTCTCGGGACGGTAATGTCTGTCCCGTTGGGAAGGGACCCTCCAGGGTGGGTCCCCGCCGCCTCTGCATACAGTTCCGCATGTGTAGACTGCGTTAACGGTGCTTTTAGTGTTGCGTGCTTTGTGATTTTCAATGTGTTTTTGTGTTTCGTTTGCCCCCGGACAGCGCACGGGACCCACATCGCGACCGTGCCTTGTGTCTCCCCCACCCGCCGGGAAGGCCGTGAGGGGGAGGTGGGGGGAGCTTGGTGGGATGTGGGGGGGGGGGCTGTGGCCACGGAAGTCCAAAGTACTCAGCGGTAATCTAACTGAGTTCTTCCTATTGCGTCATGTGTTGGGAAGCTCCGAAAGTGGAAAGGAGGAAGGTCAATGCGGCTCTGAAACCACCAACTGAAAGTTACCGTTGCTGGCCATGGCGCTGTGTCATTTCCTTCCAGGTTTGTACTGCTTTAGAAAGAACATGCGTGGCAAGCCGGCGAATTCTCAGGCACAAGCAAGGTACCGAAGGGCTCCGAGCCAACGAAAGTGCGATGTGGATGTTTTGTTAGGTAGGCGAAGGAGTGACGTTTAGGTTTGGATCGGACTGAAAGACGATTGGACTGTAAGACGAACGAGAACAGTGCTGCCAGCATAGAAAACCTAACAACCCAGACATCGTGTGCGCACGAGCCAGGAAAGGCCTGAAGAGCAGTGTTTATAAAATATTTTCACCGTGGTAATTTTTTAAGTGACCAAATGGTTACTGTGGGGGTTTTCCTTGGTAACCACCTTAAAATTCTTTCCCCAGCGAGTATGCTGAACAGGAGCCCACTACAACCATGCATCCGAAGATCCAACTACTTCACAACGCTCATTCACGGCTTTGAACAGCCAAGACGACACTTACATATTGCTTGTTTATTTACACGGATATATGTACAGACAGATTTGGCTGGAAGAATGTTTTAGGTGGTCACTACTACCGGGGGGGTCTGCGGCCCAATATCCCGGCGGACCACCTGACTACTGGCAGGTGACTCGAAACATTTCCTAGTGACCACCTTCTGGAAGGGAATTATTTTCTAAATGTAACTAAATGGTCACTAGTAACCAAATTAAAAAACACCGTTGAAAAGGTCACCAAGCCCCTGAACACTGCCCAAACAGCCCCCCTCAATCGGAAGCACCTCCAGCAGCACTGCCCAGCACAATTCCTGAGGGCCAGGACCCCGGCAAGACCTGCTGTTTGGGGGCAGCAGGGGCAGAGGCAAATGTGGGTTTGTGGGTACAGCGGGGCAAATTTACTATGATGTTTAAAGTTTAATATAATATTTGAAATATTTATTCGATTCAATTTTATAATATGAAAATAATATAAGTAATGTATATCGTTTTCAGGAGGGTGCCATTGCACCCTGCCTGCAGGCAATAGACGGTTTGTACTCAGAAAGCGAGTGTTTTTCCCATAAGATTGCCACCCGTTATATCTCACCCATTCGCTGGAGAACGTGCCTGTGCAATATTACGGGCAGCTTATAAAGGCATACGGCAGGCAGGAAGCTTGCAGGCCCAAGGGTATGTTGTTGCAAACGTCTGTTACAAACAGACACATATCTGCACGTGATACTGCGTAATAGGGCATTGGTGACTGTGTGAATTTGGGCCAAATTACATTTACATCCACCTCGAAAGCATTTCGCGTGGCCATCGTCACCAATACGCAGGCCAGTATCTTTCGAAGCAGCACATCTGTGGCGCTGAACTACTACTGCACTCTGGCCAGTCGGGCTCTCGGTTTGTTCTGCTGTTGATCTGTTGACACCACGATGGGACCTCACACGGGCGACGCGCAAGAATTGGTCGACTTTCTCAATGCGGCATGGACGCCCTTTCATGCGGTTGATGAAGCTCGGAAGATGTTGCTGGCTGCTGGTTTTAAACACCTGCAGGAGAAGGATGCATGGGACATCAACCCCGGAGGTCGTTACTTCTTCACGCGCAACGCAACAACTATCGTGGCCTTTGCAGTTGGGAAAAAATATGCTCCCGGCAACGGCTTTTACATGATCGGTGCGCACACCGACTCACCATGCCTCAAGCTCAAACCTGTTTCCAAGTCGACCAAATCAGACTGTCTTATGCTGAACGTGGAGACCTATGGAGGTGGCCTATGGAGCACTTGGTTTGACCGGGAGCTGGGCGTGGCCGGCCGAGTTCTGGTTCGCCATCCCGACACCGGAATGCTCGCGCAGCGCCTAGTCAAAATCAGCAAGCCCATCGCGCGTATCCCCATGTTGGCTATCCACCTCCAAACCGCCTCGGAGCGCTCCGAGGGATTCAAAATCAACGCCCAGAACCACCTGGCTCCCCTCCTCGCTACAAACACCAAAGCCAAGGCCAAGGCGCCTACCGCGCCGCAGGTGGTGTCAGCAGCGGCTGCCGCGGCCGCAGCCGCCCCAGCAGCGCCTCCGCCTCCACCAGCCCCCGAGCGGCATCACCCGTTGCTGCTGTCGCTGCTAGCTGACCATCTGGGTTGCTCCGCCTCCGACATCGTGGACCTGGAGCTGCACATGTGCGATGTACAGCCATCCGTGATCGGCGGCGCCTGTGAGGAATTCATCTTTTCCGGCCGTCTGGACAACTTGGCTATGAGCTTCTGCGCCCTCACTGCGCTCATCCGCAGCTGCGGTGGTGGCAGCGGCAGTGCCGACCTGCTTGCCGAGGAAAGTGGGGTGCGGGCGGTGGCGCTGTTCGACCACGAGGAGGTGGGCAGTGGCAGCGCGCAGGTGAGGAGCGATACGGGCTAAGGAGGGTAGAGGGGAGCGGGGGCGGAGGGGAGGGGAGGGGAGGGGAGGGGAGGGGAGGGGAACGGGGGCGAGGGAGGCGAGGGAGATTGAAGGAGCAGAAATCCTTATTCTAGTCCATACACACACACACAACGGGTACCGTGCCTCTTTTCCACCCTCCAATCCGTACAACTCTTCATTCAAAGTAACCGGTTCCTTCCTTTTCTTTTCCATTACCCCCGCACTCCCTAATTTTGCGCTCTGACAGGGAGCCGGGGGACCTGTTATGAGGGACACGATCACCCGTGTCGCCCGAGCTCTTTCAGGCGGTGCCCCAGTGGCCAGTAGCGGCAGTAGCGGTGGGATTAACGTCTCCGAGGGGGCGGCTGAGAGGTGCCTCCGGAGCTCCTTCCTGGTCAGCGCGGATATGGCTCACGCAGTGCACCCCAACTACTCCGACAAACACGACCCGCAACACGGACCCGTGCTGCACAAGGGCCTGGTGGTCAAGTACAACGGAAACCAACGGTAAGTGTGCGCGCGGGCGCGTGCAAGGGTGTGCGTGTGTGTGCTTTTGTTTGGGGAAGGGTTGGCGGAGGTGTGTGGAGGGGAAAAGGGGGAGGAGGAGAAAGGGAAGATGGGGATGGCTTGTCGGGTGAGCGTGTGGAAGGTTACCCCGGGATGGGGGTTTTAGGGGTCGGAAGGGGGGAGATGGGATTCACCTTCGTGCTCCTCCCCCTGTATCCATGTCGTACATCCTGCTCCTCTATCCTTAACGCCCTAAAAAGGAGGCATGCAGGAGCAAGAGACCTCGTGTTGCTGCTATGGCTGCTGTTGCGCGCCGTTGTATATACACCTCCATTTTTGTCGTCAAACCTCCCCTCCCTCGCCCCCTCCCTCCATCCCTCTCTTCCCCCCCCCCCCAGCTACGCTACCAACACCATCAGCGCCTCCATTTTTCGGGAGCTCGGAGCGGCTCGGGGCATTCCATGCCAGGTGTGAGGGGGCCGGAAGGGGAGTTGGGGGATGGGTTCGACGGCTGGGTGGGTTTGAACTTGGGGGGTAAGTAGGGGGGTAAGTACGGGGGAATCTTAGATTTCTGTACAGGTGAATATCGGCTGGGACATCTTGACAAGATGCCGGTAGAGGTTCTCCGGGATGTCAAGTGAAGTGAAGTGAAGTGGAGGGGAGGGGAGGTAGTGGCGGCCCAGAGAGATGAACCAGGGGAAGGTGGACGGGAGGAGGTACGCGTCGCTCGGTATGTGTGAACGCAGCCGGTACTTGTATGCGTAGTACGCGTAGATTATCGTACACGCAATTCGTGAGCTACCTCCCAATTTCCGCCACGCCTCGCCCCCGCTTCTTATCGAATGGGCACACATACACTTGGCATGTTTATGCACGTCACATATGCAAACCTATCAGATACATCCACACGATAATGCCTTCTTTCCGTACACGTGCAGGAGTTTGCCGTACGCAACGACATGCCCTGTGGCTCTACCATAGGGCCCATCTTGGCTTCCAGTCTGGGCTGCCTCACAGTGGACGTGGGCATCCCCCAGTGGTCCATGCACAGTGTACGAGAGACCTGCGGTACGGATGACGTGTCGTACGGAGTACGGCACTTTGAGGCTTTTTTCGCCGGCGTGGGTCGCCTGCTATCCGGCCTGGACGTGGATTCATTGCCTCCTGATGCCGTACCTCCCCCCGCGGGGCCGTTACCGGAAATCAACGACCCGTCATGCCACCATTGCGGCGGCGGCGGCGGGGGAGCGGTCTGAGGAGGAAAAGGTGCTGAGAGGACCCGTACACGAAGACGGGCCTGGTGAAGACATACATACACTAGGGTTTGGCACTACTGGTAAGGCTCGACCATTGCCCCCGGGAGATCCCGGGATCGATACCCATCAGGGTCAAAAGTCCTTCCGATGGTGGAAGGCATTGCGCCCCTAGTTGATGGACGGTGGTGACCTGGGATAAAGTTAACCTGCGAGCCGACCAGGAATGGAGTTGGGCCGCTGTCGACCCGGCAGATTCCATTGGATGCTGGTGGTGGGTGCGGAACCTGAGCGATCCACTGAGAAGTTGACTAGGGTGACTGGATGAGGGTGCCCCGAAATACCGGGGAAGGCAGGGTTTCGCAGGGTAGCTGCCACGGGCGAAGATACACCCCCCTGTTTCACACATCAGACTTATACACGCACGCGCACACGCACACGCCACCACATGTATGTTAAGTACCAACATCCGGTTGGCAGATTTCAGTCCGGACAAGCAGCTAGATCAGTGCAGTTACATGGGTTTCAAAAGCTACCACACATCGCTAGTGTGACAATTCTCGGAGCGTTCGCATGGTCGGTATGAAGGAAGTCGTATTTTTCGTGTGCAGTCATCGCCATCATCGCCATTTCCCTCACCCCGCGGCTCCGAAGATCATTAGTACCAAGTTTGAACCGACGTATTCATGGACGAACTTGCACTTAGGATGAGGACGACACAGTTCACCTCCTCCTCCGCCACCTCTCCGTCCGTCCGTTCGTTCAGGCTCCGCTGCAGCTGGTGGTTGTCGTTGGGTTCCTGCCGGGCTTTTCCGCTGTACGCATGTTGAGGCGACCGGGTGATAAACCCCCCTCACGTGGCACACGAGCGTGTGCACACTCTCGTAAAGAGACGTAGAAAGAGAGAGGGAGATGGGGAAATCTTCAACGTGTTTCAAGGGCGAGTTCGCGACCCCTCTGTAAGGAACGAAACGAAACGGTTGGGGAATGATGGGGAAAGAAGGCGCAGTGACGAGAGCTGACATGGGCCTTTTCGGGGGGCCCCGGGGCCCCTCGGGGTTCAGTGCTGTCAGTCAGTCAGTCAGACAACGTCGTGTCTCGTGATGAACTCGCACGCCACGCTGAACCGAGAATTGGTTTTAAAAAGCTGATACTACAATTCACTACAATTCGCATCGATTCACTGAGCCTGGTTACCGATCCACTGATAATCATTCTCGGTCGGGAGGTAGAAGGGGCCAGGCGGTACAGGTGTGCCCAGCTGCACTAATAGCCCAAGAGGCTTCGAGACCTTCAACTTTTCGTATCGACACTGTTGGTCAAGTTATGCACCCTATGCAATATTTAACCCCCCTGCGGGTTTCGGGGCCATTATGTCTACGGAACAACCGCCAGTTGAAGCTCAAGCACCAGAGGCGTTCAAGAGCTTTTGTTAGACACAGCTTCTGTTAGACCGCACCGGTATGCGTTATTCCGTCAGTAGTTGTCAGTACTCTCTCGTCCAATATTCCAAACGATCGAAGACGGCAGGGGAAATGATAACCAAACACATTATCCTTATCTTGCTTTTTTACACTGCTAATTCAAACTGCTCTGTGTTCAACTCATTGTTGCAACAACAAATGCACGAATGGGGGACTGCGGGGCGCGCGCGGAGGAAACAGACTGATGTACAGCCGCGCTGTGTTTCCGCCCGGTCAGGCCGCCATGACGGTTCTATGTCCGTCGTCCTTCCTCAGAGCCAGGGCGAGCTAACCACACAGTGTTAACACACCCCGTCAACATGTGCATGACCGTCGTCCAAGCACGTAGCGATATTAATAAACTGCTGAAGCTAGGTAGAGCGCCGCAAGCTTTACACACCTCCTCCCCTCACCCACCGGTTTGCTCCTTGGGGCGCCATCTGTATGAACAGCCGCAGTCCACATCCACATCCACACATCCATCTTCGTACGCCATCCACTCGATATCCTAACCCTGCTGCTACTGCCAACTGCCAACTGCTACTTGTACTCCTATTAAGCCCCTCGCTACGCAGCAGCTCGACAGAAGGGGGTTACTTCCCGCCGCAGCTTTCCATCGCTGCAGCTCTCTCCCACAACTACAACTTTTATCAATATCCTAGAACTACACCTAGCGAGGAAAGCACCGCTATCTTCCCCCCACATGCGCTGCACGAAGTTGCGAAAGCGAAGAGCTGAGAAAACGACATGTATGACACAAATTTTATCATTAAGCAGCTGAACAGGATAGACCTGAAAGCCACGTTTTGGGGCCGCCGAGGTAAAGCTACGTACCGCAGTATGCTTTTCGTGCTTTTGGCGGTAATTATGTGGGCATGAACCACATGCTTGGGCACTCTTTGCCGTACGGCTTGTACTGCAGGTCGGATGGCAGCACGCGCACAAGCGCGCCGGACTTGAAGAACGGCGCCAGGGAAGGTACGGCACTCAGGTTGGCAACGGCGGCGGCGGCTCCGCCGCCAGCAGGCGCCGTCTTCGCCGCCAGCTTCGCGACGGCGACGCCGACCGCTTCCGCGGCAGCGTAACCGCCACACACGGCAACTCGCGGCTCGGTGGCTGAGCCGTCAAGCGACGCACAAGCTGTGAAGTTGCGGACTCGGGGGTAATACACGATGAAATTGAAGCACATTTCGTCGCTCGTACTCTCGCCGTACCTGCCGTACGTACGGCACGAGGCACAAGCGGGGTACAATCGAGTATTACAACGACGACGGCGACGGCAGCTACAGCCCTTAGGGTCGTCTTCTAATCTTTTTCTCAAGAGTACCTGAGTTGTGCCGGGTCCGGCTTTCGAAAATGTTTTTGGAAATGCAGAAAATCGACATCCTTTCTTCGACCTCCTTCCAGATGAGCGACAAACTGGAAGGGCCCCATGTATGTGCATGTACGGATGTATGTACGGACGTGTATGTTTGTCCATGCTTTTGTGATTGTGCGTTCCTGCTGGTGTGCTTACCATTACCAGCTATTAGTGGTTTTTTAGCGCATGTAGTGAACTAGAACAACGCCGACATCAATCATTGATATATGTTTTTGCGAAGGATGGACCGAAACCGCAGGGTCGTGAAAGTTCCCCTAAGGCTGTCGTACAGATTCTTGATGTTCAGTTCCGGTGAATTCTTACAAACGATTTCTTGACAGCCATGTCAGTTTCAGAAGATTTCATAGTCATAATTGATTCGCATATTTCTTAATA